GAGAAATGGAGCCTGGAGGAGCGTACCGGCGAGCAGGGCTACCATCATATTGTGCGTCACATTGATTTCGTACAGAACAGCCGCTTGTTCGCACTCCGGATTCCTGAGGAGGAGAAGATTGCCATCGATGTGAATGATGTGCGCTTCGTGCCCAAGCCTGTGGACCCTAAGGAAGAGAAGGAGCGCAAGAAGAAGGAGAAGGCTGCTGCCCAGAACGCCGGCGCTCCGGCCGAGGGCAAGCCCCTCGTCGTTGGAAAGGGTAAGCCCGAAGCTGCTAAGCAGGAAGCAGCCCCCGCAGCTGAGGGCAAGCCCAAGAAGGAGAAGAAGGAAAAGAAGGAGAAGCAGCCCAAGGCTAAGCCTGCTCCCGCTCCCGCTGCTCCCCCGTCTCCATGCGCCATCGACCTCCGTGTCGGCCATATTCTTCGCGCTATCAACCACCCCAATGCCGACTCCCTCTACGTTTCGACCATTGACTGCGGTGATGCCCCCGGCTCTGATAACACTTCTTTGGATGAGGCTACTGGCAAGACTGTCCGTACCGTGTGCTCTGGCCTGAACGGACTTATTCCTCTGGAGGAAATGCAAGGCCGTAAGATCGTCGCCGTCTGCAACCTTAAGCCTGTCACCATGCGTGGAATCAAGTCCGCAGCCATGGTTCTCGCAGCCTCCCCCCGTGTCGCGGAAGGCGAGGATTCCCACGGTGGTCCCGTTGAGCTCGTTTCTCCTCCTGCCGATGCCCCCGCTGGATCCCGGGTGTACTTCGAGGGCTGGAACGACGCCGAGCCCGAGAAGGTGCTCAACCCCAAGAAGAAGGTCTGGGAGACCTACCAGCCTGGATTCACAACTACCGATGACCTCGAGGTTGCCTTCGAGGCTAGCGCTGTTCCTGCTGTGCAGGGCCAGGAAGGCAAGCCTGCCCTGGGCAAACTGGTTACCCAGGGAGGTGTTTGCACTGTCAAGAGCCTGAAGGGAGCTACCGTTCGGTAAAGGAGAATTATCACTACATATATCAAGATCAAAAAGAAAGAGAGAAACAATACCGAGCACTGTTCTAGATCAGAAAGTCCGTCGATTATTTATGAATGGTATGGATATAAAATTACTTGCGTGCATATTATGGCAGTAAAAAGCAGCAATATTGAACGTGACTTCAGTCTTCAAATCTTCCATTGTAACTTACTTTTCCGCGCATGTACATACACTACTAAGGTGCTACGACTGTTACACCGTATCTCCTAAGCAATCGCATCTTCGAGATCAATCCCACTTCTGCCCCGCAGACTCCTCCACATCTCAATAGCGGAAAAGCGCCTCTAGATCCGGAAATACCCCATGTTATCCCCAACCCCCAATTCCTTTCGACAATCCATGAACGTTATATATGCAACATGTTCAAGGGTCACACTGCAAGAACCACATACAACCCCTATTCATTAGCATTCATCTCCATCGAATCGCATAGCCCATAATGCGAGCCGTTCGCTTCCACGGACGCGGTGACATCCGCATTGATCAGATCGAAGAACCCGTCTGTCAAAATGACCAAGTGAAGGTGAAAATCACATACCAACACGATCAATTCATATCCAGCATCATTCCACGAACTAACGGAAGACCAGATCCGACCTGCGTTCGTTGGAATCTGCGGAAGTGGTACGTACCACATCCCCCTGACATATACTCCTAGTCATTTCATCATATCTGGGGGGGGAAAGAGAAGCACCTATCTAATTTACCCCAGATCTCCACGAGTACCTCGCCGGCCCCTCAACCGTCCCTCAAACCCCACACCCAATCACCAACGCAACACTCCCCGTAACACTAGGCCACGAGTTCAGTGGCATAATCGAGGAAGTTGGGCCTGGCGTTACGCGGGTCAAAGTCGGGGATCGCGTGGCCGTCAAGCCGAACCTGTATGACGGGACTTGTGCGCGCTGTGTGCAAGGGAGGGTGAACTGCTGTCGGAACTTGGGGTTTATTGGGTATAGCAGTAAGTTTGTGGTAGTTATTTTTTCTTCTTTTCCTTTGTGCTACGCTGTTGCTCGATGTCACCGTTGATTCCTCACTGACGAATGAGTAAATAGGTAATTCAGGGGGTCTATCGGACCATGTCGTTGTGCAGGAGGAACGGGCAAGGCTGTTGCCGAATGAGATCCCGCTTGATATCGGAGGTGAGTATAGATATCTCATGTGATCGACTGGGTGTTAAGCTAAGGATGTATGTAGCCCTCGTCGAGCCTCTCACCGTAGCCTGGCATGCCGTGACGCGCAGCCCCGTGGCAACAGCTCGCACTGCGCTCGTCGTCGGGGGAGGCCCCATCGGACTCGCCATTGTGCAAGTGCTTCAGGCCCACGGCGTCGAATCTATAGTAGTAGCGAGGTGTCAGAGCGGCGACGGCGATTCGCCGAGACCCTGGGCGCCACGGACGTGCTGGACCCGCGGACGGAAGACATTGAGGCGCGAGTGCGTTCGCTGTCGTGCGACGCGGGGGCGGACATCTCCTTCGAATGCTCCGGCGTGCAGGCCGGATTCGACACAGCACTGAAGGGGGTCCGAGCCCGGGGCACGGTGACGGTTGTGTCGCTGTGGGAGCAGAAGCCGGTGATTGATGCGTGGGAGCTGGTCGGGTCCGAGAAGCACATCATCGGGTCGGCGATTTTTGACGGTGACGATTTTGAGGCTGTTATTGATGCCATCGCGTCGGGTACGTGGGCGCTATGCCGGGTGTTTGCTTTCCACGTTCTTGTTTAGCTTGCTGACATTGCAGGACAGGGAAACTTAAGCCCCAGTCTATGATCACGAGTAAGATCCGTATGGAGGAGATTGTAGAGCAGGGGTTCGAGGCGTTGATCAATGAGCGGGATAAGCATGTCAAGATTTTAATCGACGTATCCGCATGATCTATCCGGGGTCATGTCAGCGGAGGAAAGGTATCCCACATTGTAGATATCCAGAATTTCCAGATAGTATGGCGCAAGTCAAGCTACAATTCGAATCCAGGCCATCACAAGCTGAAATCGCAATTTCTCCGACGCAAGCAATGTACCGACTGGGGTTCGGTATCCTGGACGGAGCATGGTACACCCTTGCACGTTCTTCAGCTCCCCACTCAGCCCACCTCATGAATCCAGACCTGCAGAAACCGGAAGAAAAGAGGCAAAAGAAAAGAAACAAGTCAGCCCTGCTAGCTTCCTGCCCGTAGTACTACGATTCACAAGCACAATGTCAGCAAAGGAAACCCACAACAGGATACTAGCGGTGATCATATAATATCTCAACAACGCAGTATAAGCAAACACGTGTTGCGATACGAAGACCATGACACACGAGTTCAAAACCACACCAATGAACACGACAAGCACGACAGCAAGGACTCAAGTCTAGCCCACGGCCCCAGAACCAGAATGTCCCCTCTCTTACTGCATAAATGACACCACTTTTTTATTATTTCCAATAACTCAGCCACATTAGGCAAGTAACACGCACCGAACGAGTTTAGTGAAGGTATCGTCGTCTGACAGTACTTTTGGAAAGAATTCTAGCCCCCGAACTAAGCCATCGCGTGAAGTTCCTCAGGTCGAAATAACCTCAGGGTTAAGATGGATCTGTCCAATGGGAGAGGTGGACAGCGTCATCCGGGTATATTGTTGGCCAAAAGACTACTTGAAAAGGGTAGGGGAGATCGCTAGTAGGGACGCTACGCAGCTTAGGGGGGAATCTTTCTTCTAGCTTGGTCGTGAATGCTACGGTTCGGTGCCGGGATGAGACACGATTGGGACTAGGCAAGGGTTAAGGAGCGGTTGTTGTGGCTGCAGGATGAACAGGCGTTCATTCGTTCGTCGGTAGTAACGGAACGCCACTTGCGGGATTCTATAGATAGATCCGAGTTGATGTGTTGTATACTCTCTACTCGGTCGGTAGTTGATGGGACCTCGTGGGACCTCTGAGATAGTTTTTACGGAGTAGGAACAAAATTCACTAAAGGGGTAGACGGGGGCAGTGCATTAAAGGGGGAGGGAAAGGAGAGATGTGACGTTACTCAATGGAATGAGTGTATGGCGACATCTCGTACGAAAGACTGACTCGTAGACGGGAGTCAATGGAATTAAAACCAAGACACCAGTGCAACAGAAGTCTTACGGCGTACGGTTTACCACGTCGTTGAGGTACACCGTCACTACGTAGTGACATTTTTGCCTCCACCACCGTCGAGAACAAACTTTCATCCGCTGTCTCCCAGAGATTTGAATGGTCCATCAGCCGCATGAGTCGATCCAGATCCCGTCTTACTTTACCTGTTCCATCTTCCAAGTCTTTGGGATACAGTACGAAGATTTACTTGTCAACAGTCCAGCCTCGAAAATCGCCAACAAGGAATATCGCCCAACCGCTTATTGTCTCCTGGCTTTGCGGACTCTCTTTCTCGTTGCCTTTTCACTTACCCACTTTTTGCTTTTTCTCTGGTTCTTTTTTTTACTGCTCCTAAGTGGACCTCCGAACGCTCCCCACTTGAAGTTTCATCGCGGTTGGCTTTCTCTACTACCTCGAAGGGTCTGAATGACGGGTCAGATCGCTTTGACTCTTGGAATACTCCATCGTATCAATCTCTGATCTTGGAAACAGTTTTTTTTTTTTTTCTTTCTCTTTTTCTTCGCCCCTAAGCTGTACTCTCACTGACGCGAGCTTCAGGCCCCGGGGCTGGTACCTTGTTGGGACGCAATGTTTTGGTCTAATCAAGTTTTAGTATAATTATCAATCATCTCCAATATAATCTGTCTTTTTCTTTTTTTTCCTTTCAAAACTCATTCTCCTTTTCTTGTTCAGATTGCTCTTTCAGCTGTCGGTCGGGTGTGTGGGTCGTACCTGGGTTTCAGATTATTTACAAAGCATGCGCTGCTGACATATTTACTACGCCGCTCGCTGCTTTTATTTTTATTTTTGATTCTTTTTTCTTGGACAATAACCATTTTACAAATTCAGGAATAAGAAATATCCTCTCATGGCGACTCCGCTTTCTGGTACAGCGATTATCACTGGGGGAAATGGGTCGCTTGGATCTTCAATAGCCATCGCCATTGCCAAAGCACAGCCTTTTGTGCATCTGCTACTACTGACACGGGATATCCGCTCTGATAGCGTCAAAGAACTGAGAGACAAGATCCGGTTGATCGGACCCCGGTCGATTGAAGTAGCAAGAGTGGACTTGACAAGTTTCAACTCGGTCGTCAGTTTTACAGAGAACACAGTGGAAAGGGTGCAAAACAAAGAGATCCCTCCAGTGACGCTGCTGATTAACTGCGCTGCCGTTGCGTCCTACATCGCCGATCAAGTAACACGAGATGGGTTCGATCCCGTCTACCAGACCAACTGTATTGCTCCGTTCCTCTTGACCATTGGGTTGCTGGAGGCGTTCCGAGCAGGTGATGGAACACCAAACGGCGGAGTGAGGGTGATCAATGTTGGTTGCTCATCCATGTCGAAAGGCTCTTTGGATTATTTCGACAAACATGATTTTGGAAATCAACAACCGGGGACGCAATTGTCCTCGAAGGAAGGGAATGCACGCTTTGGAAGTAGCAAATTAATCATGAGCGCGGCCATGTACGCCTTGCGTCGGAGTCTGGTACTCGTAAGTTGACCTGCAACATCTCGCCATTGCCTTGAGGGTCCCAGTTAACCAGGGTTAAATTCTTAGAATGGCAAAATTCCCTTGAACATATTTACCCTGGATCCCGGTGGATTGACAGGAGAGAGCCATTTATCGGAGAACGCACCTCGGTCGGTTCGAATGGCACACCAGACGCGGTCTGGACTCCGGCCATTCCTGCGGGTGTTCTCTAAAAGTGCCATTAATAACCCTAGTGTTCCAGCCAAGGTAATCGCGAAAGTCGCATTCCAGAGGGATACTGTGGAGCAATGGGGAAGGGAGCGATATTATATCTTGGACAACGACTACCAGGCCGGATCCGTCATTCCGGTGCTTCGAGACCCGCCTAAAATGGAGGCATTGCTTAAGAAGCTGATGGGACAAATTGAGATCGGTGTCAAGGGTATGGGGTCTCCCCAGTCCAGGATATCACGGATCAATTGAAGATGGGCGAGTTACTATATGCGATTTCTTTGGGCTTGGATAGCGATGGTTAGCATTCTCCGGCGTTGGGCTCTTTTTCATGCGTTTCTTATCAAGTGTTATCGGGAGCATCGGGATTTGATCGGTTTTCTGTAAATAGACCATCGGTGGTATAGATATAAAAGAACGACGAGGCTGCCAATTATGGATCGGCGTGCCAGGGAACTTTGATCCTAATTGTCGTACTGATATGAATTGAAGACGGTTGCATGTCTGCAAACGGGCACGAGTTGGCCTACCGCCGGATTCGGTAATGACGGGCAGAGGTCGGACTCGACAAGGGTCTCTGGACGTGGAGGCGAATCACCGCCCAGGCGCTACTGCACTGAAACCACCTAAACGCTTGGTTCCGACGCTCTGGACGGGCGTCCGTTAGTTAATGCTACATAGACCTTTTCGAGTCTTTGTCTCCCTTCCCTTCTTTTGTCGCCATTTTCCCTTTCTTGTTTCATTATTTCTTTTAAATTCCTCCAGGGATCTGTGATCCTTTGTCGCTCCGTAGTGCAGTTAATCTTACGCCTCCCGCCTCGCAGTCGCATCGACTTAGGTGGGAAATAGGAAGTCAAGCCAGTGGTTTCCTTTAGATCTAGGAACCTAGGGGTTCCTTTGTCTTCGGGACCGATTTTCAAGCTACTGATGCGACTGACTTTGGAGAGATGAACAGGCATCACGCCTTCACCAACGGCTACGCTGCCTACCCTCGCGGGCAGGGCAGCACATTTTCCATTTCTCCCCACCGGTAAGCAACGGCCGCCATCGCATCCCACTCATTCGCTTTCTGAATGGGTGATACACAATATCGCTTAATGTTTCCTACCAATTAACAATGTCTTACTGACTCTGCTCCGTCGATCGCCAGCTTCCAACCGCGTTCACAACCTGCTCTGCGACGACGAAGGCAACTTATCCAACGGCTGTTCCTCATTGGTGGCGTCTCTTTGTTACTCCTCGTCCTCATCTTCCCTTCTTGGAGAGCCACAATTCTGCCAGTAGTATCCCTTGGACTTCTTTCTTCTGCGGAAGACTTGCAAATACAAACTGTACGATATTACGATCTCTCAGCTGTACAGGGCACCGCAGATGGATGGGAGAAAGAAGAGCGTGTGCTCATGTGCACACCTCTTAGGGATGCCTCGTCCCACCTGCCGATGTTCTTTTCGCATCTCCGAAACCTCACCTACCCTCACCACTTAATCGACTTAGCTTTTCTGGTCTCGGATTCAAAGGATAATACACTAGAAATGTTATCCAGCATGCTTGGGGAACTTCAGGCCGAGTCTGATCCGCACATGCCGTTTGGTGAAATCTCAGTCATCCATAAGGATTTCGGACAGAAAGTGACACAAGATGTCGAGAGTAGGCATGGGTTCGCTGCACAAGCTGGGCGGAGAAAGTTGATGGCTCAGGCGAGAAATTGGCTGTTAAGTGCTACGCTTCGACCGACTCACAGCTGGGTCTATTGGAGAGATGCCGATGTAGAAACGGCACCATTCACCATTATAGAAGACCTAATGAGACATGATAAAGATGTCATCGTACCAAGTGAGTAAAGCAGTCTACGGCCTCTGGTTGTTTTATCTAATAAAAGTTTCTATTAGATGTCTGGCGGCCACTCCCAGACTGGTTGGGCGGGGAACAGCCCTATGACTTAAACTCCTGGCAGGAATCGGAAACTGCACTGGCCCTGGCAGAGACACTGGATGAGGATGCGGTTATTGTTGAAGGATATGCTGAGTATGCGACGTGGCGGCCTCACCTTGCCTACCTTCGAGACCCATACGGTGATCCTGATATGGAGATGGAGCTCGATGGCGTTGGTGGTGTTAGTATCCTTGCAAAGGCAAAGGTGTTCCGTGCTGGAGTTCATTTCCCAGCATTCAGCTTCGAAAAGCATGCTGAGACTGAGGCATTCGGCAAGGTAAGATCTGCATACAACCCCCCCTTCATCATTTTTCTTGCTAAGTATAAGCAGATGGCCAAACGCATGGGATTCTCCGTTGTCGGTCTCCCACATTATACTATCTGGCATCTTTACGAACCTAGTGTCGATGATCTTCGGCACATGGAGGAAATGGAACAAGAGCGCAAAGCTCGCGAAAAGGAAGAAAAGGAACAAGCTGAGCGGTCAGAGCGTGTCAATACCCTGTTCCGGGATACTAAAGCAGAGTCGGAAATCGATAACGCTTTTGTTCGCGACGATATGGAAACCGAGAGAAAAGACCAGAAAGCCTCGGACGATTCGAAGAAGCTGGAAGCTGAAAGTGCTGAGGAAGCGAAAACAGACAAATCCTCGAAAGCCCCAGAACGGGAAGAACAGAAAGCTCCAGAAACTCCGAAGAACAAAAATTTGAAAGATGCCGAAGAGGTGTCTGCAGTAAAACCGGCTAAGGAACAGGCCGGTGCTGCGCATGATGAGCAATTAAAGCAGGGAGAGTAGCGATGCTCATTATCACAGTTCTTCATGTATTCGGTAGCGAAAGGCATCGGTTCAAAATCTGTGAAAAACGGAGAACATTGCTGCCTATTGCGCCTCACCAGTCTCTGTGCTGGTCACAGTGTGGCTTTCTCATTCTCTTTAGAATATGCCGTCAATTACTGGCAGCTTTTTGTATATGGGCTCGTGGAGTGTTTGAGGCTTGATTTATGCATCTGATGTTTGGTTGATCTGTAGGTCTGATATTGGGAAGCACTTGGTTTATTTTTCGCTGTCTTGACGATGTATTGGTATGAACGACTTGCCTCATGGGCAAAACGTATGACTCGACTATCAGTAAATTACATGCCTAAGCAATTCTATTCTCAAACGGTCTTGAACGAAGCATGGGCATCCAACTTGGCGAGATTCATATAGTTACAAAGCAGACCTCAGGCTTTTTATTAATTCTCCGGAGCCTGTTGCAGATCTGGTTGGCAACTGTGTGCATGATCTTACATGTCTCATCTACTAGGAAAAGAGCCATCCTACACGTCGCTATCAAATACCATGGTGGTTCATTATCATGACCCAGACCCTCCCCCCCCGGCCCGTAGGCTGACCGCGTGGCACACTACCCTATTAGACTTGGTACAGAAGATCGAGACGTCTTAGTTTGAAGCTTCCGACCTTGTCCATTTGGACATTATGGTCGGGGAGTTGGTGACCCACTAGTCCAGGATCATGTTACACTTCAAATAACCAAGAGTTCGAGTAATTTGTACTGATCCAAGCCAATCTTGAGTCCAGAGAGCAAAGCCTATTAAGTTCCCACCAGGCATGGATATTTGGACAGTAATAGGGCACATGTCAAAATCAAGAGTTGCCCGTCAGATCACTCACATGGTAAAAAATATTGGAAAATCAAAAAGAGAGGAGGATAGCCCCCGGCGAGGCTCGAACTCGCAACCTTAAGATCACTTTGAAAGTAGACTGTTGATTTGTTAGTTGATGGGTTTTTGAACATGGGAATATTGATGTGTGGACATACAGTCTTACGCGCTACCATTGCGCTACGGGGGCCGTTGATGCCAAAAGTGCCTTTTTTTTGTCTTTTAACCAAGATGTATCGAATGAAGGAGAGTTGATGATTACGATCCAAGACCATGTTACCATCTCGTTGTCTGTGCATATAAGAGGCTTAGGTTAGTATTTCACGCCGTTAAGTGTTGCGTTCCGGCCTAGGAAGTCCACTCAAGAGCTATATAGCCAAAATCGGTATAATTATAGGATCTAGGAGTGAAATGTAGATACTCCTAGGGGTCTCAGGTACCTGTCCATCTGGCACTGTTATATATCCGCCAATGTATTTTTAAAGAATAGTGAGCTCATATTTTTGTATTTGCCCATAATTATCAACGTCAGATCCAGTAGAATCTCTAAGGTAAGTCGAACGTGGGATGCTGGCCAACAAGGACGATTCTTAGTTACTTGTTGGACTACCTGCATAAGCACTCAGCATGTCCTTGAATCAACCATGATTTGTATAAGATATTTGCTACAAGATCAACACAACAACGGCCCCCGTAGCGCAATGGTAGCGCGTAAGACTGTATGTATTTACTGCTGAAACTTATCCTCAAAACTCAATAACTAACAAAATGACAGTCTACTTTCCAAAGTGATCTTAAGGTTGCGAGTTCGAGCCTCGCCGGGGGCTACCCCTCTTTTTTTCGACTTTTACTGTGCTTGTGAGTGGGTGCTCTATATGCTCTCTGATCAACGCCACAACAACATCTGCCCCCGTAGCGCAATGGTAGCGCGTAAGACTGTATGTTTACACTCCCCCCAAAACTCATTGTCGAGACTCCAAACTAATGAAAACTCAATAGTCTACTTTCCAAGGGATCTTAAGGTTGCGAGTTCGAGCCTCGCCGGGGGCTTCCCCTTCTCTTTTTTTCTTTTTGATCTTGGCCATGATACTCTCTAATCATATACTTCAGCATCAGCTATGTCCTGCATTTGTTTTTTCATCCTATTATCCTATTCCACCCCATGCAGATAACTAAAAAGGCCTCGCTATCCATATTTTATAGCTACTATGACAATCAGATTATTATATGGTGTCTTCGAGTGTATCGTAATTATTTCACATTGTTAATCCCTAACTTTAGTTTCTGTCACAGTGTGGCTTTCTCAATCTTCCCAAAACATGCTACCATTTATTCTCAGCCTTTTTTACCTAGATATTTAACCGTCCTTTAGGGCTTGAATTTCATCAAGTTTCATGTATCTTACGTTGTCGATTGATATATCCATTAAGCAGTGGTCTGTGCGTCCATCTCGTCGGTAGCCGGCACGCGTCTGAATCGCGTCCAGACGTACCGTCCACCTCAATTATTCCCTCGATAGGTATAACAACATCGCATACTCATTGAGCGTCAATATATCCCTTCCGAGCCACTACTTGAGCGCCTTCCAAAGGCGAACAAGATTAAGACATCACAATGTCTACACAAGCCGCTTCCAGCATTCTTTTTACCCACACATCCCCCCAGCAGGGATTCAAACTACTAGAGCTACCACCAGAACTGGCCGATCTGCTCACATCAAAAGAAGCTCCAACGTACGCTACACGCTGATAACCCCCCTCGCGAATCTTACGCAATCCCCGAATCCCTTCCAAAGAAACTAACTGAAATTTATACAGCCTCGAATTGAAATCTCCAACCCCCCAAGAACCCACAACGACAACCACGGACCCCGAAAACCGCGAGTATGTGAACCTCTGCACGCCGACGAAAACCTACCTCGTTCGCCAAGTCCAATCCTCAAACTCGATCCACATAATCCGGCCAAGCGACTCCGGTGTCCAAAGAGGAGACATTAACATCGTCGGCGGCGGCGATGACGACGAATTAAATCTCGTCGAGACGATGACCGCTATCGCGAAATGTGGGTCTACACTTGAACTGCACACACCTCCGGATGGTTTCTCGGCGGTCCCTGTTCTGGAGAGGATATTGCCTGTTTATGATGAGGTGGAGGGAGCAGAGCAGGAGGTGGAGCAGCGGGGGGACGTGATTCGGAGGGTCTTTGATGATGTTCCTGTGTCGCGGGCGCAGTGTGAGGCGGGGTGGACTGAGCTTTGTGCGTTTGTGCTTGGGCGCGGGGATAGTGGGGATGATGTTGCCGGTTGGTGTCGGAGGCCGTCGCGAGGGCCAAGTTGGATGTGTGGAGACGGGTGGTTGAGGGGGCGGTGTTGCAGGGGATTGACCTGGGTAGGCAATTCTTGGTGCAGGATTTGTGGAGATCGGTGCTTGATGAGGGGATGGAGGAGCCTTTTCCGAGGACGTTGTTTGAAAGTATCGTTAGAAGGGTTTGTGAGGCTGGGGATGGGCAGTTGTTCGAGGATTTGAAGTGTGAGTTTCTTATTAACGTTACTGGAGGGGATAGGTTGTTGGATGTTATTTTGAACTGACGTTTCGGATATAGGGACCAGTATCGATAAGGCACGCTGTACGCAGTGGGTCGGTGAGACCTACCTGGAGGCTATGGCGCCGACCACTGCTTCTGGCATCGGGAGAAGTGAATTCCTGAATGCTTGGAAGGATCTCCTCCCTGAGTCCTGGCGGAACGATGTTACTTTCTCGAAATTGACGGTAAGTGGAGCGCTTGCTAGCTTGGATACTCGCCACAGTGATCATCTCTCATTACTAGATGTTACGGTATCTGACATTATACGCAGGAAAACTCATACAAGCATCCAGATCCCACGACGATCTGCTTTGTTTATCGAACTGACCGACAGAAGATAAAGAAAAATGTCTCGACGGATGCTAGTGCTGCGACAGCAGCCAAAAAGACAAGAAATTGGCACGAGCTATTCAAGAACCAAAAACGCCAGAAACGCTAAGCCAAGTCCGCGAGGGCTCGAGCGTCGCCTCTATGATTGAGCCGGTTTACTCTAGATAGTCATCCCCTCTATCAATGTCATGCATTACTCGCTGAGAACCGCAGATATGACCGACATTCAGCACCATGCGTACTTCTCATTCCAGAGCCACTCAACTTCCTTGCCTTGCTCGGCGCCACTCCACCTCAAACAGGCTACGCTGTCCTGTTCCCGATGGACGACCTGCGCCGTAGGGTCTAGAATGGAAACAGCCCTCTCCAGCACTGGGGTTGGATTCCAGAACTGGACCTTCGCCATACCCCACGCATGCGCCTCTAGTTGGGCGCGTCTTATGATTGCGGCCATGGCTTTTGCGGTTTTCTCTGTTTCCTCTGGTGAAGTTGGCTCGTCGTACACCCACCTCAGGATGTACAGAGTGTTTTCCTCTGGAGTCTCACCGAAGTTTCTATTCCACGCACAGTATACTTTGGACTGTTCATCACCGGCACCCTTGATAAGTGGCAGTGTTCTGTCCTTGAAGAGAATCTTTGCGTAATATTCCTCCCTTGCCCAGTGCCACTTAAAATGGTCAAAGTCCGGGACGACCGCTACTTTGGCACTCGCAGATTTCTGAGATGCGATGCGAAGGATATCTAGCTCCTTTTGAACCACGTCATTGTTGCACATGAAACGGTGCACATCTTCTGCAACCAAGGTCCTCGCCTTTGGAAGGTTTCCTCGAACGATGGCCCGATCATATTCATCCTTTGGTAGTGGGGTAAGGCTGAAGTGTGTAGAGGGATAGGGCATCCACCCAAATTGAGCATAGAACTTCTTTCCGATATCAGAGTATAACACACTGAAAGGTATTCTGTTGGTGGCCTTGGGCTCCGTTTGCCACGCGTCTATTTTCTTGACCAACTCCTGCATCATTCTTTTCGCATATCCCTTGCCTCTGAACTCAGGTCGACAGAAAACACTGCCGATACTGAGGGCGGATACATGTTCCACTTTACCGTTTTGTGCCAAAATTGCCTTCTTTTTGTATGTCTCGCAGGAGCTAAGGATTGCCCGTTCCCCTTCTGGTTGGCCTCGGACGACCAACAACCAACTCGTCAAGCCATCCTCGGTCAATGCTTGCTGGGCTAAGTGATTTTCTCGTGCAATATACGCATCAAGGTCCAAGGGGCCCTTCCAAGCTGGACTATTCAGCTTTATAGCTGCGGTGCGTTCCTCTGGTGTCGCCTGCACCAAGATCAACTCCGGGGATTCGCCTGATGGCAGGGCAGCGTTATCAAGATAAGAGTTGTCAGCGGCAATCATAATGGACACAATGTAACTAGTTCGCTTTCTCTCCAAAAGCGCTTTAAATGTGAAACAAAGCTGAATTTGGTATTATGGTGGGGGATTTGATAAGATTATGGCGATAGGTACTAGTTGTGGTATTCGGACGGAACCGTTGAGTGCCAAACTGAGGGTAGCTCTTGAGGACAGATATATGCCTATATC